TGTAGCGGAGCAGTAGATAGTGTAGCGGAGCAGTAAAAATGATTGGGAGGTAGCGGAAGGGACCGGGGTGTGGCGTGACGGAAGCTGGCCTCGTGAGTGGGAGATACTGTAAGGGAGCAGGAGGAGGCGCGAGGGAGCATGGTGTGGTATAAGGGAGCGGGAGGCAGCGCGAGGGAGCATGGTCTGACCTTAAGGAGCAGAGCTGGGGATGGAAAGCAGAATCTAGTACAAGGGAACTATTGAAGAGTATAGGTGAGCGAAAATTTTCGTGAGGGGACAGGAGTCAGCGTTGGGATGCAAGGGCTAGTTAGCTGGCGGGATCAAGATAGCGCTGGCGTCGCTGGGCATCAGAAGCTAGTAGTGGAGAATGCGATCGTTAGGATGCGAATGAAGCTCTCATATTTCATTGCTTCGCAGGGTTAGCATGGCGCGATTTGGTGTGACGTTTTAAGCATCGAATTACACCCAAGAAGTGGCTAATGTACGGCTTTTGGTGAGGTTATCGAGTGCACGTTCCGATACAATCGGGGCTGCAGACGTATAAGGTGGACATTTATCATCCATAGAGCCTGCTGATATGCTAATGCGGATCTACGTTATGTCTCGTTGCCAGAATCGGATTGTATGACCACAGCAAGGACGCTGAGAGCAGGCGATTTCCATTACGTTGTTGAACAGCAAGAGAGAGAGGGAGGGGAAGGGAGAGAGAGAGAGAGGGGAAGGGAGAGAGAGAGAGAGAGAGATGGAGAGGCGAAAACGTCAAGTGACCTCCGCCAGGGCCCATCGAGACGCTTCTCAGCGCGTGCGGTGTTGTTGTTTCCGGGCACCGCCAGCTGGTCCGCGTCTGGGGGCGTATTTCTGTCGCGTGACAACGTCCGCGTTGCGCCTGCTAGTACGGCCGGCCCGTTTACACAGCGTCGCCGCCGCGTGTCCCGCTGTTATCCCCGGCGCGCCGCGTCCGACGGCGGCTGGCGGCCCGATCGGCTCCAGATTCGGGCGGCGGCGTCCGATCACGGCAACCCGCTGACGAATGGGCCGGCGCGCGGCGCGCGTGAAATATGGCGCGCCCGACGCGCGGTGAAATACGGCGCCATTAGCATTGCACAAGACGCCGGGTGTCGGAGCGGGCGGGCGGCGGCGCTCCGACCGTGACCGTGTATCGACAGCGGCGCGTCGTTTGTCACAACTGCGCCAAGGACGTGGCGGCCGGCCCCGCCCGCCGCCGCCGCCTCTGCCGCTGCCGCTGCCGCTCCGCCGCCGCTGCCGCTGCTGCCGCGCACACGCCGGTCCGACGTGCCGAGCAGCGGCCGCAGCGGCCGGGCGCCGGCGGCCGTCGGAGCGACTCAGCCGAGCTGAGGCGGGCCGGGAGGTCGGCCGGACCTGTGTGAGGGAATAACGAGGCTCGGCCCCGCTATGCCCGGTCACGGCGGGAGGCGGCCGCGCCAGGGAGTCGGAGGACCGGCTCCGCGCGCGGAGCGGCGGCTGCACCGCCGGCTCCTCCGGGCTGCACCGTTTGCAGCAGGATACAAAGTCGGTGCTGTTTACCGCAGTAATCAGATGGTGTTTGTACACCATTGGAGCTCGGGGCACATCACCTGTGCGATTAGCTGGCAACAACCGCCGGTGCGCGGTGCGCTGTGACCATGAACCGACCTACTTAGTGAGTTATCACTCAGTTCTGCTGAGCTCGGATGCAGCGGTCCAGGTGCACGGCGCCGGCTGTGATATCACGTGGCTGTTCAAACACGCCTCTCCTGGAGTGTCTGTCCTCGATTGGCGAGTGTGCAGTCGAGTGTTGCACGGCGCCGGGAGCTATGTTTGCCGTGGTCATCCAGTCCATCTCGTCGGCCCACCTGTGCACGTCGCGGTGACCGCTGCACTGGTGGACCGGATGGGCCGCGCCACACCGCCTGCCGCGGCGGCACGTGGGCCAGTGACCCGCGCGCGCGGCCCGTATCGTTGTGGCATCAGCGCGCACGGGGCGCCGGCGTATTGTCTTCATCGCGCGGGCGGGAGGTCGCCGGTGCGGCGGTACGCGCCTGATGAGCGCCCGCTTTATGGTCCGTGTTGGCCGCAGGTATTGGCCGCAGCATGCCGGCACATCGTTCCCAGCCTTGGCGGGGCGCGGCCAGCTCGGCGGGAGCGGCATGCTGACGAGCCGTGCTGCGGAGGGAGGGGAGGGGGAGGGGGTACGCGGAATTGACCCCCGGCGGCCGTCCGCAGGGGTGGAGAGGGCTCGTTTGGTTCTTTCGTTTCGGCAGGTGCCGCTTGCCGGCGCCCGCCCGCGGCGCCCCTCGTAATAGGTTGCTTCGCTAATGGCGCCGAGTGGTTTTGTGAGCGAGCCGCCCCGTCCTGCTTGGACGGTGGAAGATGTGGAGCGGTCCAGAGTTGATGAGCCTCATTCAGTTGAGACGGAGGTCTACTGGCGAATGCTCGCCCGGCTCCAATGTGCTCGTCTTCCGAGAAAATCCCCGCTACGGGATGGCTCAATTGGTTATTAGGAGATCAGGCTCATTAAGTTGGATGGAGTGCTGGGGCTTTCCGGACGCCGTCCCCCTAATCTGGAACACGGTGTGTGTCCCTCCAAATGCGCGTGTTGCTGGATGAGTGCACGACATGGCTTTGTATGGTCGAACAAATCCGCGGTAATTTTCCCGTGAGTAGTGCCTGTCGCTATCTATGAAAACCTGGTGCTATCGGTGAAAACACACCTGTCAGCCAGTAATCACCAGCCATCAGTGACCGGAGCGTGGGAGCAACGACGGCCTCTGGGTCGCCCGGCGCCGACCTTTCCCAAGCGCGACACTGGGCGGACGGCGCGGCCCGGCTCGCCATCCCACGCACGCGTAACGACCGCGCCCGGGCCGGCCGGGCACGCGCGGCTCGCGCGGCGGCGCGCCCGACTGCCGTTGTCGGCGGGCCGCGACCGCCGCCCGGCTGGCCGCGGACGGTCCGACGGCGACGCGGCGGCGCGGGCCCGCGGTGCCGCGGCGCCGGGTCGCCGCCGGCCCGTCAGGCACTCTCCAGGAAGGAAGTGGCGCAGCGGGAGGCGGCCGTATCGCGCGCCCGGATCGGCGGCGCGGCCGTAATTGGCGGCGCCGCGTCGGCCCGTGTCGCGGCGCCGACCTTTACCCAGATCGGCGCCGGCGGAGCGGGACGTGCCGTCCGCTCGCCGGCCGGCGGCCGCCGCGCCGAACTCGGACGGCGACCGCGGCGGGAGGGTGCCGCGCGGGCGGAAGCGGATGGCGGCAGATCGCGACTGGGCGCGGAAGTGCGCTGAGGACGGCGCGGCGGGGTCGAGCGCGGAGGTCGTGTCGCCGGCGGCAGGTGCAACTCTGGCTCGGGACGTGAGGTTCGGGTGGTGGAGATAACCCAACTCCGGACCAATGGGCTGTTGCTTGGACGATTTGATGGATGCGGGGGATTTTGCGAGGCTTGGATGTGATTGAGTCACGAAGTTGTAAATGATCCGCCCGCTTTGCTGCTGTGTCATGGAGCATTTGCTAAATACGTTATCTGGTTGCAAAGGCTTGAGAGGGAATTGTAGTCTTGTTTCTGCATTTTGATTGCGACTGAAAATAGTACGACGGAGTGTCCTAGAAAACCTTCATAACCTCCTGCGCCCGCGTAAGATTCAATTACAAAAGTTAATTGAACTAATCTGTCAGCTACGCGCACATTAATTGAAGATAATTACTGTGGTGTAGATCTGCGCCTTCTGCGCCTCCTCTCATCCCGCTTCGAATGGGGCATGTATCAGCTGCGCCCAAGGTACGGGCCGGCTGTCGGGATGGCGCTGGCCGTCACCGAGGGGTACAGCGAGTGGGACGAGTGTTGATCGCCGCCCCGTCCGTCGCCCCGTGCCGCCGCCCGGTGAGAAGTGTATCGGCTGGCTGACCTGGTGGGCCTGCCGACTGGCGCCTCCGCCGCCTCTGCCGCCGCCGCGGCGCCCTGCTAACCGGCAGGTAGGCCCGACACCGCGAGACGTGTGCTCCCAGGTGGGCCGCGCCGCTGTCGGCCGCGGTGTCGCCACGCTGACGGCCGCGTGCCGCCGCTGGAGTAGGCGCTGACTGCCCGGCTGAGTGTTGAAGAGGATGTTTTTGGCAGTCGGCGGCTGGAGTTGATGCTGCCTGTTTTGTAGAGAAGGCACGGCCTTTTGTTGGCTCTGGGACGCGCCAGTTCTTGAGTGACGGAAACACGGCTGGACTGGCTGGCTGAATGTCAGAGCTGCTGTCGCTGCTGGTTGGCTCGCAGACGCGGCCGGTGGCTGGCTGGCCGACGCTTTTGTCGCTGACGCTCTGTTGGCTGCCGGATGGAGGCTACGCTTACGGTGCGTCGCCGCCGCCGCTGCTGCGGTCCTGCGCTCGCTGGCTGCTGACTGTGGCTCCCTCGGGCGGGCCGTGATCCGTGCCGGGCGGGCCGCCGCCTGCTCTGGACGGGGTCCGGTCCGCCCACCGCAGCCGCCTTTCCCGGCCGCTCGCATGCAGCCGTCGCGCTCTATTTCGGTCCGATCGGCATCGGGCCGCCCTATACGTCCGTTGTATTTGCATGCCGGTGTTTAACTGACGCGGCTGCGGTGGGCACCGGCGTGGGCCGGGCGGTCATTCAGCCGTCAGCCGCGCCGTGACGCCGCAGCGCAGATCCGAGATCAGCTGGGAGCGGAGGCGGGACGGTTTTGAATTATGGAAGGGTGTGAAGCCCGGCGCGCTCTTGGCGATGAGGCTCACGTCTGGGCGCGGGGTGAACGGCACGAGCTGGCTCGGTTTATGGCCGGCGTCCAGGCGACGCCTCTCGCCGTGTGTCGTGGCCGGTGTCCTTGCCGGGAAGCCGCCCGCCGGCGCGAGCGGTGCTCCTGTTGGTAATCCGAAGCGTTGTTGTGATCGATGTTTGCCCAAGTTTGACGCTAATCTGCGTGCGCCATGTCGGTGCAGGGCGCCCTAGCCCCCGGGGTCTGCACGCGCCCGTCCCGCGCGCTGACCGTCCGCCGTCGTCGCCGGCAGGCCAAGACGGAGGACCAGCTGGCCTCGGAGCGCGCTTGGCAGGACGCCGACCAGGTATGGCTGGTCCACAAGGAGGGCTTCTCGGCGGCGCGCCTGCTGCGGCCGCCCGACGACGACGCCGGCGGCCAGCCGGCCGACGGACGCGTCAAGATCCGGCTCCAGGACAGCAACGAGGTCATCGAGGTCGACGAGGACGACATCGAGAAGGTACGCGGCCGCGACAGGCGGCTGGCGGCCGGGCGCCGTGACGAGCCGGCGAGTCAGCAAATAGCTGCAAAGGGAAGGAGAAGGGGAAGGGGACACATATGGCTGTATCGCATCACACTCAACAGAGCGTGCTGCGCCGGTATTGTCGACTTATCACGTGCGTCCCGCCTCGAGTGAGTTTGACAGGCCGTGTGTGACGAGGTGTGGGCTGGCTAGTTGGCGTGTGATCAACCGTGGCGGACGATGTGTGGCGGCGTGACGGACCGTGCGTGACGGCTGTGACAGCGGACGCGTTATCCAGCTGGGGATCGGGCTAAGCCTCGGCGGTATGGCGCCCGTCGCCGGGGTCAGAACGTTAGCCCGGCCGTCCCATTAGCTACCTGTAACGGGATTGGCACAGTGCTGCTGTTCCGAATTGGGGTACCGTCTGGTTTCCTGCGAGTCGCAACGGGTGGACATGTGTTTGTGACAACGGCAAACATCCGTTCAGGTGACCTTTGATGAGTTAAAGCAGGTTAACGCGGTGAAGTTAGTAAGTTAAGACTAATTTGAAGGTTGGGAATTTGATGCGCCTGGACGGTGTGGACATATTGGTTATGCAGGCGCAGGCGTTTTTATTGCACACCCGCCATCGACCCGCCGTTGTTCCGCTGTTGCCTCGCCGTTACCTCGCCGTTGCCCCGCCGTTGCCCCGCCGTTGCTCCGTCGTTGACGGGCCGTTTCCCGGCGGGCAGGCGAACCCGCCGCAGTTTGACCAGACGGAGGAGCTGTCACAGCTGCGGCACCTGAACGAGTCGTCGGCGCTGCACACGCTGCGCCAGCGGTACGGCAGCAACCTGATCCACACTTCGGCCGGCGCCAGCACGCTGGTCGTCAACCCCATGTCGAGCCTGGCCATCTACTCCGATAAGGTGAGGCGGCCGGGAAGGCCGGAGGGGGCGGGAGGGATGGTGTCCGGTCGCGTTGCAGGTGCTGTCGAGGCCGACGCGTGCGCTAGGGATGGCGTGACAGCAAGTGCGGCCGTCTTTGGATGCTCGCTGGCGGCTGACTGGTGACGACACGCTGTTGGGCACGCGTGGATGTTCCAGTGTGGGATCTTGTGGGACATAACATCTTGCCGGTCATCGCGAAGGAGATGTCTTGTGCAAGACATCGGGTATCACAAGCAATATTTCAGGTGCAATGTTGGGTAGAAAACTCTCGGGATTCTAAAAGTCGTCAGGCCGACCGGTCCAGAACCTGAAAAGATGTCCAAAGTTGCGCTAATCATCTGTCGTTTTGTGATCATGAAGTGATGGTGCTCGTAGATTTCAGATTGAGTTAAAAACAAGAGGTTGTTTGACCGTGGAAGGACGCGAGCAGCGCACTTTACGGGTAAACTGGGCGGACGCAGAAGTACTGGCTACTGGCCTTGGTTAGCTAGTTTGCGTCAGCAGCCTTGCTGCCTCGCACGACAGACGTCAACTGTACCTTTAGCATGGTTAGGTGGGTTTTGCTGATAATGCTCAAAATCTGTTAATCACTTCTTCCTGAGCTTGCGTAATTGCTGGCCATATTTGCTGCACGGCGCTTTCTCTTTGGGTAAGTCGTAGTTGCTTTTGCCATCGTGGTAATCGGCAAGCCTCTTCTGCATCGACGCGGACTTTGTCGCTAGCTTGGTTTATCAATTACGTTCATGTATTTGCCGTCTTCGTAATGGTCAACAGTCATTGTCTGTCGAAATGTTTGCTCTCATGCCGTGTTAGTATCATAAACAACTAGTCGCAACCGGGCCCGGTTTCGCAACTCGTTTTGTTTGCGAAGAGATTCCATTGGTAGTAGGCGCCGTAGCAAGAAGTTTGCGTATGATGCAATTTGTCTGCCTTCCAATTGAAAGCCTAATGTAACCTTCATTAAACGACGGGAGCCACTGATGAATGTGGCTCAGGCACCCATAAGATTAACACTGCGCATTAAGGCTTAGAAAAAAAGACACTGTTGCGCCTTGCTAATGGTTGCTTCGCGCACTGGTATGTACATTATGTACTTGTCGAGTTTCCCTCAAGCGAACCCCCTCACCCCACCCCCGGGGGTCAGCCGGCCAGATGGGCCGAATATTAGCTTTGATAGTGAGATATGATGCGCCAGCTTTCCTCACAGGAATTTCTGCCGTATGCCAGGCCAGTACGGCGGCAGACGGGACAGCTTATTGTCCCGGCTTTCGGCGCACACGGCGCTCATGGCGTGCCGCGCTCGACGGTAATGCTCGTCAATTAATGCACGGATAACTAGGTGAACTTTCGCTGTCAGACGTCTGTTCTGACTGCGAGCGGTAATAGGAGGTGTATTAGATTTCGCCTTCGGCGGTGGCCGCCCCGCCCCTTCTCACTTCCGTCACGCGACGCTGAGGCGCAGAACGCGAACCCTCGAGCGGCGCTCGCCACCCACCCGAACCCTAAGCGTCGCGCGAGGCGTCTGCCGTCGCGTCGCCGCCGGCCCTGCGAAGCGTGCGGCCGGCGGCGGCGTGTGGACCGGTGACGTGAACGGCCGCGATGGCGTCCGCTGATCAGCGCCGGCGCGGGGCCGTGTGTCGGCGCCGTCCGTGCGCCGACGCCGGCGGCCCGATCATGGGCGCGCGCCGATTGTTTTCGTTGGCCCGCGCGCGCGGCGTGGCTCGCCGCCGGTCGCCGCACCTGTCTCCGCAGGCGTAGGCCGGCGGCGACGGCGCCGGCGCCGCGCGCGGGGGCGGCGACGTCGCCGCCTGTTGTCGGGGTCGTCGTGTCTGGGTCGGAAGCGGCCGGGCAGCATCGTTCGCTGCAGGTGATGCGGCGCTGGTGTCGCGCGCGCGGTGAAGAGCGGCAGCTCGGGCCGGCGACGGATGGTTACCGACGCGGGGATCGGACCGGCGTGGTCGCCCGCCGCTGACGGTGCGGGTCTCGATCGGCGTTTGCCGGCTCCGCTTCAGTGGACACGGCTCGTGTTGTTTACCCCTGATACAGACGGGCCGGGCTGGCAGCTGCAGTCGCCCGGCCTTTCGCCCCACTCACCCCGCGACCGCCTGCTGGCCATTGCAAAACCCTGAGCCCGCGCCAGAGGCGCTCTCGCTTTCTTGCTCGCCGGCCGCACCGACCCGGATCAGACGTCGTCTGGACAGGTGAAACCCCGGCAGGTGGCTGACTGGGCACTTGCAAGACAGCCAGCGCGATCCCGCCAGCACCGCGCCCCGCCCACAGCCAGCGCGATCCCGCCAGCACCGCGCCCCGCCCACAGCCCCACCCTCAGCTCCGGCCCGCCCTCGAAAGACGTGCGGGCTTTTTCAAACAGATCAGATGCGCGGTGCGATCCACGGTCGCTTCTGACCTCTGTCCTGCGCGTAGTCCCGTCGCCGTGTGGCGCTTTATCCCAGCCGCTGCGTTTTCCCTTGTATCTCTCGTGGTCACGTATGTATTTCCTCTTTCTTCTGAATCCTCACACCCATGCGCTGTTATCTCATTTTCATCATGATTCCGCTTCCTGATCCGGTCCAATTAGCTCTGTTCCGGACAGGACCCCGTGCCCGGCCATTCGATCTCATGACCCTGCGCCGTGCTCGCCACGACCCTGATCCGGACTCCAGCCGCGATGCTCCGTCGGGCGTCCGCCAGATCGCAGCGACGCTTGCGCTCTCCGCCGACGCTCCAGGTCGTGTCGGCGTTGTAGCCGGCGCCGGCCCCGAAAAAGATGATTTAGAACAAATCACACGTTGATATCATCATCAAACCGTTGCGCAGAGTATTGTTTCACGCCAGGGTGACCGCGTAAACGCGCCGACCGCGGCGCGTTTCGAAAGTGTGCGATGTAATCTGGCCCCGGTACGGTACAGGGCGCCGAGGCGTGAGAAGAAAGCACAGCCGGTGAGCCGGTTTACTGCTGATGAGACGACAGGCCGCACCTGATCTCGTTAACTGTCTTCACGGCGGCCGCCTCCGCCGTCAGCTGGCGCGGCCCCGGCGTCGCCCGCGCCGGGCCGTCGTGCGTGCCGGCTCCACGCCGGCGCAGCGGGCCGTGCCCTGGCCGCCGCCTCGGATTCGTCATACCCCGCGTGACGTCACGATCCGGCGCCCCGTCGAAGTCCACTCGTGCGGTGGCGACGCCTTATTTGTGCATTCCGACGTGGCCGTCGGCCAGCATGCCTCGTCGACGTCACGCCGGGCGGGCCCGTACGTGCGGTGGGATCGTGCACAACAGTTAGGTTTAGCGGCCTTCTTAGGATCGCTTCCCCCGCGTGCAAGGTCCGGCCGCGGGCGGCCTGGTCAGGCGAACGAGACCGACCGCCGGCCATGTACGGGTCGCCGGAGAGGCGGAGACGGGACGGAGCTCGCTGCCGGGCACCATCGGTCTTGGCGTCCTCCGCCCGGGCGGCACTGGCACCGATCGCCGTACCTGCCGCTGGTAATCCTTTCTCATCCGTCACGGGCCAGCGGTGTGGTGGTGGTCTGCCGCAGGCGTCCGCCCGGCGCGGGGCCCGACGGGTTGCGGTCGGGACGTGCCGGGGACGTTCTGACGCGAGCTGCGCCTTGTGGGCGCTTCTAGGCAAACTTTGTCAGCCGCTGCTCAGGAGCCATGCGGTCCATGGCCGTTGTTGTCAGCGAAGTCGGTGTGATGCTGCACGTGGCTGGCGTGTGCTATTTCTGAAATTCCCTTTCGCGTGTTCTGGACGGACGGGCCGTCGTGCCGAAGCGAGTGATGGCGGCTGGAAAATCGCCCGACACCGGTGCCCGTACTGCCGTTTGTTTGGCTCGGGTCGTCACGACTCGTGCGGTGTTTTCCCGCGGCCGCGTGCCGTCCGTCTCGCCGCCGCCGCCGCGCGCCGACAGCCGCCGGCACTTCCCCAAATTGAAAGCGTCGCTCCATCCGTCAGCGGCGGCGGGCGGCCGCCGCCGACCCTGGCCGGGCCGATTGTTCTGCGGCGCCCGGCCGACCTCCGGCCAACCCCGGCCTGACCTTGTCGCCCGGCGCCTGACCCGACGCCCCCGCCGGCCGGGCGGCCGACGCCGAGCGCGGCGGACGGCCCGGTCGGCGCCCCACACGGGCCTGGCCGCGGCGGGCGCGGTCCACCGGTCGGTGAGCCCGTCCGGCGGGATGGCGCGACGACGGCGGTGATCGAGCGACGTGGAGACGGTGGGGGGAGGGCGACGCGGGAGGTGTGAGTTCCCCGACGAGGCGCGTGGCAGCTCGAAGGTCCCCATCGTTCTTCCCGGTCCTTCTGAGGACGGGAAGTGCTCCGCGGGAGATAAGGAACCCGCCGACCCGTATACGGCGCGCGGGGCGATCCCTGAACTCCGGTGCCAGCCGCCGCTCGGACCCCGGCCCGGCTCGGTCACGTCGGCTCAGGATTTATCTGAACGCGATGGTCAGGGTCGAGGCATTGTTTAATAACACCCAAGGATGGCCAGTCCGCGGAAGTGGGTTGGAACCATTGCAAAATTTGGAACCGGTTCAAGGGTCCTGCCGCGTGACCCTGGCCCGCCGCGCGGCCTGCGTGCTCGGAATATCTATTGGCTGCGATGATTAGGGTCCATGTTGTCCTTCCGATACCGCGCTAACGTGCACTGCACGGTGTCAGTCTGATAGGTCGCTTTGTGGTCCGTGGAGCCAAATAGACCCTGCACGTGTGGGCGATCGTCCAGTTGTTGTTTCTGGCGCTCTTGCAGGTGAAGTTAATGTGCAGGCTCGAGGTCGACAATTTATGTCATGCTGTGGACAGCTCCGGCTCACGCTGGGACCCAACAATTTCTATGTCGCATTATCGACAATTCCGGCTTGACCTTTGACCTTGCTGCTCTATTGGGACGACCAGTCATTGTGTGAACTTTACGTTTCCCATTCAGATTATGGTGGCCGGAATCTCCGTGCTGCCGACATCACCACCGCGTCCGTGTCTACATCCGTT